CCCCTGCCCCCAAACCCATCCCTCTGCCCCCAAACCCCCCTCCCCTGCCGCCGCCCCACTCACCCATCCTCCCTGCTGTGCGATCCAGCTGGCGATGCTGTTTTGCAGCATGAATTCCCCGAGGTAACGCGCGATTTGGCGCAGGAAGGCGCCGACCCTGCTCTGCCACACGTGCATGGCCATGCGGTAGCCAAAGGCCAGCAGGGCGATCACCCGGCCCCAGTTGATGCCGCTCTCGAACAGGCTGCAACAAAACCCAGGTGAGTCCTGAATCCCTGCCCGGAGCTGCCCAGCCCGGGGGAGATCCAGCAGTGGGGTCAGGATTGAGGAAATGGCCCCAAATTGTACCAGGAAAAGCTTAGGTTGGGTATTACAGGATTTTTTTTTTCCTCTGGGTACAGTTGCCCAGGCTGGGGGATCTCGAGCAATATGATCAGGATTGAGGAAACAGCCCCAAGTTCTACCACGAAACATTGAGTTTGGGTATTTGGGAAAATCTTTTCACTGGAAGGGGTATCCAGCCCAGGGGATCTTGAGCAAAATGATCAGGTTTAAGGAAACAGCCCCAAGTTCTACCAGGGAACGTTCAGTTTGGGTATTTGGGAAAATCTTCTCACTGGAAGGGTTGCCCAGGGAATCTTGAGCAGTGGGGTCAGGACAAGAGGAAATGACCCCAAGTTGCACCAGGGAACTTTCATTTGGATATTTGGGAAAATCTTTTCACTGGAAGGGGTGTCTAGCCTAGGGGATCTTGAGCAATATGATCAGGATTGAGGAAACAGCCCCAAGTTCTACCACAAAACATTGAGTTTGGGTATTTGGGAAAATCTTTTCACTGCAAAGGTTGCCCAGCCCAGGGGATCTCGAGCAATATGATCAGGATTGAAGAAACAGCCCCAGGTTTTACCACAAAACATTGAGTTTGGATATTTGGGAAAATCTTTTCACTGGAAGGGGTGTCCAGCTCAGGAGATCTCGAGCAATATGATCAGGACAAGAGGAAACAGCCCCAACTTTAATTTACCTGAGTGGGACAGGGTTAATTTAATTTACCTGCATGTGTTGCTGCCTCAGCCAGCGCTGCTTCCCGGACAGGGGAGCAGGAAAAGGACAGAAAGGAAGGAGTTAGACACAAATACTGGAGAGGAGAAGGGAATAGACACAAACACCGAGAGGAGGGCACAGGGACAGGGCTGTCACCGCCAGAGGTGCTTGAAGGAGTGACAGGGACCCAGGGACAGGGACCCAGGGACCTGTCCTGGCTGCAGGGACAGGGCTGTCACCGCCAGAGGTGCTTGAAGGAGTGACAGGGACCCAGGGACAGGGACCCAGGGACCTGTCCTGGCTGTGCCAGGGACTGCCTGACCTGAACATTTCCCTGCAGACAGATCCCCTTGGTGCCTCCTCAATCCAGGTATCCTTGGCAAGTCCTGGCAGGAAGTTTTCCAGCTCTGTGCCCTCACTCTTCACCTGTCACTGTGCTTTGGGGTGGCTGTCACCTGTATGAGGCGCTGTGTGTCACCTGCACCAGGCTCTGTCACCTGCACCAGGCTCTGTGTGTCCCCTGCACACTCTGCGTGTCCCCTGCAGGCTCTCTGTGTGTCCCCTGCAGGCTCTGTGTGTCCCCTGCAGGCTCTCTGTGTGTCCCCTGCAGACTCTGTGTGTCCCCTGCAGGCTCTCTGTGTGTCCCCTGCAGGCTCTCTGTGTGTCCCCTGCAGACTCTGTGTGTCCCCTGCAGGCTCTGCCAGCCCGTGGGGCAGCCCCCAGGCCGAGGTGGTCCATGAGGACCAGGTTGGATGGGGACTCTGAGTCACCTGGTCCCATGGGTGGCATCCCGCCCATGGCAGGGCTTGGAGTGAGATGATCTTCAAGGTCCCTCCTGACCCAACCATTCCATGTTTCCATGATTTCTGTGACCACCCCACTTCCAGAGCCCACGGCCGGGGTTGTTCCCTGGGCTGTCCCAGCCCGGGGCAGGGGCAGCAGGAGCAGCAGCAGGGGCAGGGCTGGCTGTGCCCTGTGGAGGCAGATCAGCTGCCCCAGCCCTGCCCTGGAGGGATGTCCCTTCCACGGGCTGTGATTAACTCATCTCAACCCTCCTGGAGAGATGCCCCTTAAGTGGGAACATCCTCCCTTATCATGGTGAGCAATCCCAAAGGTTTCAGTGGTCCCACCATGCCCTGCTACCCATGGTAATCCTTTGTAACCCATTGCTCTTTCCCCTTGGTACCACCCTTGCTTTCCCCCATAAAAACCCCAGTTTTCCCCCCAGTTCTCAGGGGAGCTGTCATCCCTGGCCCCCTTCACAGAGCTGCTGGATCATGAAGGAATCTCAGTGGAATCAACACTTCTGTCTCTCTGTCCCTGAGTCGGCCTGGGATAACCTCAAAAGCAGAGCTGAAATCACTGAGCTGAAACCACTGAGAGCTGACCATGGGCTGCCCACCTTGCTGAGGTTACCCAGTGGCCAGAGAACTGCCAGAGACCCCTGAACACTTGTGGGACCCTGCCAGACACCCCTGAACACTTATGGGACCCCGCCAGAGACCCCTGAACACTTATGGGACCCTCTCTCTGGGAAGGTCGTGGCATTCCAGGTAGAACCAACAGAGCCCTGGCCACATCAGTGCCCCCGAGGGGAGCTGGGCCAGGTGGGCCAGGTGTCCCAGGGACATCCCCTGAGGGACCCCAGCCTGCTGGGATGCCTGGGAGGGGACAATGACACGAGCAGTGCACAGGAGGAGGAGCAGACAGGCAGAAAATACAAGAACCATCCCGGGAAACTCGCTGGGAGCTCAGGCAGGGCTGGAGGGTGAAGCTTGAACAGACAGAGCGTGGGTTTAACCCACAGCACTGACCACACCTGACCTCCCGTCCCCTTCTCCGTGGGAATCCTTAAAATTAGACAGCTTTGAGAAAGCTATGAAAAGCAGGTCTCAGAAACAGCAGAACTGCAATTAGAGCCGTAAGATTTGCCAGCAGAAAAGTTCTAGGAGATGTGGAAAACACGGACAAATAAAACAAATATGTGTATTAACGCTTGGCTAGAATCACTCCCTAACCTGCAGAAAAGTACATCCAGCAAGATATTAGGAAGTTCTAAGCTTAATAAAGGAGCTCTGTGGGTTGTATTTTAAGACATAAGGGCCCTGAGGCTTTACCTGGAGGCGATTTCCTTGAAGTGCTTGTAGACGTTGCTGGGGGTGAGCTGCAGGCCCGCCAGCATGGTGCAGAAATCGGCATCATAGCGCCGGTAAATGTCATCACCAATGATGGCCAAGCGCTGCCCCACCTGGCTGTTGGTGCTGCTGGAGAGAGCAGGGAGTTAGACCCGGCTATGGGCAGTCAGGCCTGGCTCTGGAGAGTCAGACCCGGCTCAGGGGAGTCAGACCCCGCTCTGGAGAGTCAGGACTGGCTCTGGAGAGTCAGGCCCAGCTCTGGAGAGTCAGGCCCAGCTCTGGAGAGTCAGGACTGGCTCTGGAGAGTCAGGCCCAGCTCTGGAGAGTCAGGCCCCGCTCTGGAGAGTCAGGCCCCGCTCTGGAGAGTCAGGCCCAGCTCTGGAGAGTCAGGCCCCGCTCTGGAGAGTCAGGCCCCGCTCTGGAGAGTCAGGCCCCGCTCTGGAGAGTCAGGCCCTGCTCTGGAGAGTCAGGCCCAGCTCAGGAGTCAGGCCCTGCTCTGGAGAGTCAGGCCCGGCTCTGGAGAGTCAGGCCCAGCTCAGGAGTCAGGCCCGGCTCTGGAGAGTCAGGCCTCGCTCAGGAGAGTCAGGCCCGGCTCTGGAGAGTCAGGCCCGGCTCTGGAGAGTCAGGCCCAGCTCAGGAGTCAGGCCCTGCTCTGGAGAGTCAGGCCCGGCTCTGGAGAGTCAGGCCCCGCTCAGGAGAGTCAGGCCTGGCTCAGGAGCACAGCCTGGCTGGGGGTGAGGGCTGGAAGCAGGGATTTACTTTCTCAGGTCCAGCTGGATCTGCTCGATCTCGGGGTCGGGCGGCAGCTCTGCCCCTTGCTCCTTGCGCTCCTGCTGGTAGCGGTGGAAGGCAAAGCTCCGGAAAACCTCCTCGGCCTCCTCCGCCACCTGGCCCTCTGCAGAGACACAGGGACAGCACTCAAGGACAGCACTCATGGCACAGCCTCCTCTCCCTCCACTCTCACACCTGGGAGAGGCTGTTCCCTCATTGTCACCCCGAGTTTGTGCTGTTTGTGTCAATGCCAGCTCTTTGCGGCAATCCCAAAAAATCCCCGGCCTCAATCAGTCCTCACTGAATTCGTTTGGAATCCAGTCACGCTCGGCACTCCAGGAATTCCAGTTCCAGAATGTGCTCATGTGACAGCTCCAGAGCCACACACGTGTCCCTGCACCCACAGAACCGTCTCCAGACCCACAGGATTCCCTGCACTCTCACAACCTTCTCCAGACCCCATACATTTGTCCTTGTCCCCACAGAACCAGCTCCAGACCCACATACATGTCCCTGTCCCCAAACTTTCTCCAGACCCACACATTTGTCCTCGTCCCTCACACAACCATCTCCAGACCCACAGGAGTCCCTGCACTCTCACAACCTTCTCCAGACCCACATACATGTCCTTGTCCCCAAACAACTTTCTCCAGACCCACGCACGTGGCCCTGTGCCCTCACAACTTCTCCAGACCCACAGAGAGGTCCCTGCACCCACAGAACCGTCTCCAGTCCCACAGGAGTCCCTGCACTCTCACAACCTTTCCCAGACCCACACATTTGTCCTTGTCCCCACATAACCTTTCCCAGACCCACACTTGTTCCCACACAACCTTCTCCAGGCCCACACCCATCCCTGTTCCCACGTAACTTCCTCCAGACCCAGAGGTGTCCCTACACCCACAGAACCATCTCCAGACCCACATTTGTGTCCTTGCCCCCACACAATGCCCGCCAGACCTACACAAACATCCCTGCTCTCACATAACCTTCTCCAGACCCACACATATCCCCACAAAATGCTCTCCGGACCCACACACGTCTCTGCATCCTCACAACCTTCTCCAGACCCCACATGTCCCCACACAACCCTCTCCAGACCTCACATGTGCCCATTTCCATTTCCATAACCATTTCCAGACCCACACGTGTCTCCCTGTCCCCTCACAGCCCACACACACATCCCCACAAAACGCTCTCCAGACCCACACGTTTGTCCTTGTCCCCCAGAACCATCTCCAGCCTCACACACGTGTCCCTGTCCCCTTAGTCTCAGGGACATGCCCAGTGTCCCCCCTGCAGCAGGGAGTCCCCAGAGAGGTGTCCCAGCCCCACGGTGACCAATCCCTCATCACACACATCCCATGGCTCTGGGGAAAGAACCTGCTCTGGATTAGAGCTCGGTTCCAGCTGCTCCAGAAGCACCTGGAGAGGGACAGTGGCTCCCACAGCCCCAGTGAGTGACCCCACATGGACACTGCTCTTCCCAGGTTCTTTTCCAATATAAAAATTTGTCGGGGACAGGAGTGGTGGGGCAGGATCAGAGATCAGCTCCTTTCATAGAGCACCCAGACACCTCCAGGTATATCCAGACACTGC